CACGCATTATACATTACATTATATTGTATAGATACATAGTGCGTTAATACGTATGCGTTCGAATCGCGCCGGCCGTAAAACGCTGCTGTATTATTAACTCGACGACAAGCTTTCATTTCACACCGTGTTAAAGCATTTTATAATGGATCTATCAGAGTAGATTAAAAACCTGTTGTAGCGCCGCCGCAGTTCTTTATCGATTCTCATAATCTCTCGGGCGCGGGCCCTTCTTCGTCTCCTTTTCGTCTTCTTCTCCTCTTCCCCCCCTCGCCGATCCGATAGCCCACCCCTCCCCACTCGTTTGGTATATCGATTTTTATAAACGTTTTTTTTATTTCATTTCATTTTTTTTTTTTTTTTTTTTTTTTTCGGTACAGGTAGATTTCATTATCGACACACTCGGAACGGTTTACGGGCGGCCGGGTCAGGGGGTGTGTGCCGGCGACCCGCGGGGGAACCCGTTGAACCGATATTAATTATGTTTGTGTCATAAATTCACGTATAGGTATATAATATTATTATAATGTTATGTGTGCGGCGAGAGGAATGCGAGCCGCGGCGTGATAATTCTGACAGGGAAACGTATAAATACGCGGACGACGACTACCTACATAATGAGTATACCTAATGTAATATTATTACTCTATCGCAACCGATCGGCGTGGCGATCATGCCGGAGTTTTGGGCGATATCGTGTGTCGTCCACAGATTGCTAATCCAAACAGTATTGTAACATATTGTAGTGCAGGCGTTAGCCGTTTCCGCGGACCCCGTGAACGTACACGTTTCTTTTGTTGTGTACGATTTGCAGTTCTGGCTAAACAAAAAGCGCCTACATAACAACACGATAAATGATAATATAATAATTAATAAATTACCGATAATTTTATGTGCCGTGCTACTACATAACAAAAACAAGTTTCGGAGTGGCTCGTGATCGATCGGGCTTCTTGCACAACACTTCGCAATGCTCCCCCACAAATGCGTATAAATCTGTAGAGCTTGACCCTAAAATAAATTAAAAAAAGTTCATGCCTTTCCATTAGTCACATCTTATAGTTGGTTGTAAGACCGCGCCTGATAAGTGCTTGAAAATATGATCTGATTTTATAGTTTACTTTTCTTATGCAAACCGGTTCGGCGGTAACACCATGTGAAAATGTTTGTGCACGAAATGTCAGTTCGTGTCTTATCAGTCATTTTCCAACACGCGTGAAGCATATTCGCGGTTCAGTGGTAGTCATCTGCACGTGATTCGCTGGGCTTCGTCGTTTTTTTGATTTGTTGCATTTTCTTAATTGTTCTCACACCATGCGTTCCAATACTATACCGCACACGATTATATTTTTTACTCGGTAGTTTAAGACCGTAAAAACGATTTACGCTCGCGGCGCGCGCTCCTTGTTTTCGATTCTGAAATACGTGCGTGCTTGTGTGTGTGTGTGTGTGTGTGTGTGTGTTAAGGCCGTAATTAAAAATATCGTCTCTCTATATATGTAAACCTAAGTGTTACACGTATTTCATTTAAAACTCAGAGATTTTTTTCAACATTTTTTTGAAAAATTTGTTCGATCAGTAAATTACAGTATCTATAACGATTGACCAACTGCTCCACAACATTTAACGTCAATAATAATGATTAAAATGAACATAATATATACCTAGGCAGTTTTTTTAAAATATTATCAGGAGTTTCATAATAGTTTTTGGAACAATTTATGAAAAATTAAAAACAAAAATAATAACTATAATTTTTTTTTTTAACTGTGAGTTAATTATTTATTTATTTTTATTTTATTGATTTAAAATAAACGTTAGCTACATTGGTCATTAGTTATGCACTTAAAAGATTTTATATATATATATATATATATATATATTACTATCGCTCATCGTAATACATAGAGTCGATGACGGAAATTGGGTTCGTGAAAACACCGTATTTTTATTTTAGTGTTCGTGTTTACGAGTATTATTATAGATATTTGTATTTGTTTTTATTTTCAATAAGGAAGTCATTACACACTACAAGCGGCACCAGTCGATCACTTTGATGTTTTATTTTATTATTCATTCTGTTTGGCAACTGCAATATTTGTAACGTTTTTTTTACAGTTCTCTCGGTATATATTATTATTTTTCTACACATTGGCTGCGTTTCAAAATATTAATAGTTTTTTAATGTATATACAATATGTTATTATTATTTATATATATATATATGTACTATGCGTTGGAGAATATACGCGAATAATTTATTTTAATTTAAGTAGAATTAATATCAGAATAGTATAATATTACGTACACAACTCGAATATTTTCAAAATTTTAATAACTAATAAGTCGTATTTGTTGTATAATTATGCAATGACTGTGGAAATTAATTTACCTTTAACAACATATAAACGTATTGAAGAAAAATATCGTTTTAATGCAGCGCATTACATAGTTGTATGTACACGCGGACTTCTATAAATTATATGGACGCGAGGTATAATAACCAAACTCCAAAAAAAACAACGCTAATTTACAGTCGATAAACATGCATTAATTAAGACGAGAAGACGCGTGAGCTCAATAAGTTATTATTTACTTCTAAACGAATAGTTTTTGATTCTTTGTTTCTTCACATGAATTGTTTTAAATATTAATTTAATAGACCAATAGTTATTATTATGAGTAAATATTTCAAACAACTTCAATGTTTTGTTGTTATAAATTACTAAAATTATTACGTTTTTACTGACGTTCTATACCTATAGTATATGATATAATATAATTTATTATGCCTGCAGAGTGCAGTGTAATCGTTTTAAAAACTTTTAATGAATTATATTGTATTTTTTTATTAACTTTGTATTATTAAGTGAATAATTTGGTAAGACAATTAAAATTATTTTATCTGTTACTGATAATAAATTTAGTAGTGTTTGTGTAGATGCATCAAAACGCTAAACATTTAAATGATACTGATGTTTTAGATCAGGTACCTAGTTGTAGCCTTTACAATTTATATTGTTTTTGTAATTTCGGAACTGTTATAGTAACTACGTTATAATATAGTTTATGAATTTATGACAACTGGTTTGACATAGTGTCGCTAACTCTGCGTCGTCTATTGTAATTTAAAAACGATGAGTTTATATCGATAAATAGTCAAAAACAATTTATTTATTTTCGATTAATTGTGAGATGAAAACTCAATACAATAGTAATAAAAATTATGCTAAACGTTGGCGCCGTCCGGGCCAAAAAACGTACTTTACGGACTGAGTGGAATGGGTGTCGAGATGTCCGTCGGAGAACATAATAATAATATATAATATTATAATATTGTACCAGAGACCGCCGTGGGAAGTCTCGGCCGCCGAAAAACGAAACTCAAACGATAAATCAGGTGGTTTGTTTTCTCTTAGATTTTTTGTTTCTTTTCGCCATATGTCCCTCATGAGACGTTATATACGTATTATTCGATTGTTCAAACGGCGTTAACATTATACACACACACACACATACATAGATCATATAGGTGCCAGTTATGCGTATATTATTATATTCTGATGTGTGTGTATGTGTAATAATACAATGCGCGTATTGTGTTAATATAATATATATATATACGTATTACGCCCATAATAATATAATACGTACGACAACCGTTTGCGCGAGTAAAAAATATTTCGAATCCCACACGCGTTTATCCTATTCGCGCCGGTATATGTATATTATAACATATAAAAACCTAAAACGGCCTCGAGCTTTCGGCTATCGAATATTTTAATCGAATTCTACGACGATGTCTATTATAAATAACATCGCGTACCTGCTGTAGTTGTCTGCAGTATATTTATTTTTCGTGCCTAATTCGTTATAAATATAATAATATGTTTATATTATATACATTACACATGGTCGACGTCTATTTAATATCAATATCTAGACAAAGAAAATCAATAAAAATCCTGCTACAGTCGAAAACGGTTTTTTAATTTATCGCACCGGCCGCTTAGTATCTACTAAATAAAATAACAATACAAAATCGTATTGTAACGAACTGTTATCTTACTCATTATCTAATAGGTGTTATTTCAATATATCCAACGTTGAATAAGCCGCACATACACATTTTATTAAACATTTTATACTATATATATATATATACTACATAATGCATATTAATTATTTTATTGGGTAGCGAACCCGTTTTTTGTGGCCATTAAGAGACAAATGATTTTAATAAATCAAGTGACGTATTTTTTATACTTTTTAATATTTTAAATTTCATATAAATTTCATGATGATTTATTTTATTAAAACTGTTTGCGTACAGTGAGTTATTAAGTAGCAACCGGTTTCTATTCTAAATGTTTGTCACGTGGTAGTAAGTAATGCGCTGTGGCGATTTTGTTATTTTCTCGTAGCTATATTTTAGATTCTAAGCGGAGCGATGAACATATTTTTAGTTTAATACTTAATCGCGAAGAACTAGTCTCCATCAGCCACAACGATACGACAGTATTGTAAGTAGGTAATACAAGCAACTCGTATGAAACATTATAATTTATTATGAAATAATAATTGAATAATACATTCTGCGTCTACAACTATTACAATCGAATCCAGTCGAGTACTAATGGGCGCACGTGTACGTTGAATATATTAAATACGTTATTAAAGAAAAAAAGAATATAGAAATCTCTTCCCCGTGTTCGCCTAAAGTCCAAACGCATGCCAAATGAATTCACATCAAGTCGTTTATGGTGTATGTTTTGCCTAAACGCAACGCCGGCGAAATTGTTGGTGCGACTACACGAAACTGTACCGATCGGATTTTTATCGATTTCGCATCGGTATTTATCTAATTAATATCAACTATGATATGATACAAAAACAATAATAATATTTATTATTTAGTTAACGTTGTAATAATAGGTATACATACTACACAATCCACTATCAACCACTGACGTTTTATTAATTGATTTTTTTTTTCGTTTCAGGTTAACAAAAATAATCCAGAGTGCTTTCGTTCTATTAATGGTGAGTAGCGCACGTTTTTTTTTTTATATCTTATAGTTACGTAGTTATGTTATATATGAGTGTATACCGTATAACCATGTTGTAGTTTATATTCCTTTGATGTGATATAACAATTTATTATCACGTCAAAATTAAATTAGAAAACTAATTACAGGTATTTGATGGTAGTATTGGGCTATAATTTTATCTGTTGTTTAAAACACGTTTTATGTACCACAAAACTCTTTAATAAGCACACGCATTGAAATTTGTAAGATTATATATTAAAAAACCAAACATTTTCAAGAATACATATATGTTTTCTAAGTTTAAAAAAATGATAAATACAGCTTTTTTTTAAATAAAATTAAAAATATGTCAATATTTAATAATAATTATTATAATAAAAACATTTCAAATATTATTCATATTTATTTAAATATTTTAAAATATTGTGTGCAATCACTAAAAACAATACGTGATATTTTTATTGGTATTACAATTAACAAAAAGTACCACAAACAACAATGATATGATATCATAATAATTTATTTCTTGAAAAAATATCAAATGCAATCCATTGAAATATTTAAAATCGAAATTCAATGAAAAAAATATCTATTTAGCTATCAGTAATCATAAGTACTAGATTGTTCACAAAAAAATGAATAATTAATTATTAAATAATGAAAAGTGAGAATGTTTAAAAAAAATATATGAATAAGTGGGTGATATAAATTATAACATACATTTGTTTGTACTTGCTTTAATTGCAATTGAATAAAATAAATTTTGATTGAACTGCATTCCATATATTATAATAGCAATAACATTGTTTTGATGGACCACCTACAACAATAGTATACAAATATACATTACGTTGAATTTATATTTCGATAATATCGTTGTTTACAATATGTCCGGGACTTAAGTAGACGAAAGTACAATTTACCTACTTGCATGTATGCTGTATAGTAATAATATATTAAAGCTACGACGACATATTATAGTTAAGCCGTAGTTATTTCGGAGTGGTCGCGTTCAATTGACAAACACAATGTCGATTAACGTAAATTAGTATCGATTAATTGAATGTTTTAACTGCGGGCAAATGTCAAACGATCAGTAGTATCGACCGTACATTTTCACTGACCAGATATTATTATTATTATTATTATTGAAGCACCTGACAGAAGATCTGAACGATCATCGATTATCCGCACTATGCCACCGATAGATTGATTGATGCAGACATCAATTTACTTTTATTTAAAATTTAAAAACAAAAATTTGTAAGCAGAAATTTAATATGTAATTTGTATCACTATTCTTAACATTTTTACATTCTTGGTTTCATTGATATTTCTAAAGTAGAGTGTGCTGGAGTAATGTAATATTCATACATAAGCGATGAAAATATTATTTTAATGTTTTGATAGTCAACCTGTTGTGTATATGTATAGCCATGTAAATACACAGTATATAATATGTTATATGCGCCAGCTAACTTTTTAAATTTAATTTATCAATACTATGTGTATGTTTTCTGGTTTCTAAAATTTATTATGGACATTTGAATACGATACCCATTAGCAGTTTTATTTTTTATTTTTTTTTGTATCAAGCGTGGCAATAAAAATAGCCGACACCTACAATTGTATTATATATTATATATACCTACCTGCCACGGAGTCCATATAAACTGACACGCATCTATTATGTTATTATATTTTATCGGTTAAAATAATTAAAACGAACCGGAAATATAATATACGAGTACCTATGTTACAACAAATAGCGACTGTCGCCATAGTCCAATAATAATTAAATGTTTGTTTATCCGATCGGAAATATTCTCGAAGTACTTTCCGCGTGTATACGCAGTCGTAAAAACAAACATAAATCGTTATTAATGGTGCCAGGTGTTAAATTATTTTTTTTTTCTAAAAATTGTTGTCGTACCGTTTGGATGACTAGAAAACCGTTTTTATTATAGACTAGGCCGAAACGAATTCAATGCGTGTAGTTATACAGAGATTCGTTTCAAAAACCAGTTTAATATCGGTGCCGATTGGCCAAGTTCACACATTTGATCATATTTATACCATTATTAGTGCCACTAGTTAAACTACCATGTAGTTTTATGTTGTTTTTTTTCTACATTTTCGGAACCTATAATCTTTTGTAAATTAAACGAACATGAAGAATTTCAAGTGTATCGTGTAATTTTACACACTATAATATAATATATTACTATTAAATATCGGACAAGCGTTTAGACATATTTTCGAATGCTGGAAAACGTCTAATGGTTCCGAAAAAAAAAACATTTTTACGACATAACGTCATACATTATATCTGCACTCTGCAGGACGTCATCGTTGATATCGGCCTCCACGTATATAGTAAAAAAATCTTATTCAGTTGCGCGTACAATGTCGATAAAAAAAAAAAATAATACATAATATAGTGACATGGTGGCGATCAATAATTCACGTTAATACGTCCGGTTACTATTACGATGGGCCGCACTTTGTTTATCTACATCACGATTTATAATAATAATATAATATAGAAAAATAATAAAATTATGTAAATAATCGTAAAAAGAGGAGTTTTGGAAAAGCATAAACAACGTAACGAGCAACTAACACGATATAGTATAAGCGTACATGATGTATCTACACTTAAACAGCTGGTAACCCAATGGATAATATATTGTACTATAATTTTCCCGTCGTACGAATTTCTTATACGCCGAAAAATCGAACACGCGTGCGTCGAATTTAGCGCTCGGCCAACGTCGTCGTAAAAGTAAATAGATAATAAACGTTTGGCAAAATGGAAAGCAAAATAAATAAATAAGAAAAAAAATTACAGTGACGGGACCTCATTATCGGGTAATAAATGCGAACACTATTGCGACAGGCCGCGTTCAGGTGTTGTTAGACCGCCCTCACTGCGGCGTTTTATAGGTGTGAGTATAGTTGAGAACTCAGCAAGAAAAAAAGAAATCCTATCTTGGAAGCCGCCAGACACTTCTTTCTCGGCGCTATAAGCAATCAATAAACACTCATTTTATTTATTTATTTATTTATTTTTAATACCTATATAACCCGTCGCATATTATATAGATAGGCACGTCTTTCGTTAATGGTCCTAGGCGGAGGGGGGCCTTCGGGCGCTCAAAACTCGCGTTTTTACGATAGTTACTTATATTGGGTCGGTGCGATGCGTCGCATTTCATAATGTAATAAATAATAATGTATATTATCATTTATCATTATTGCGCGGTGGTCGTCTACTCGTAAGTGTATTATGTATATATTGTATATGCAGCGGGCGGTTTCACGCCATCACATGTCGTGTACGCCGAACTAAGATGCGTTCGTCCCGCAACAACCAAAAGGGCGAAAATGGTAATTAACCGTTTTCAACGTTTCATTTCACATATATACGTATATATATTTAACAGGTTAAAATTCTCTTACAGATCCGAATCGCTCGGTTTTACGACCCACGGACATATAACTTATATTCGAAAGTCGTCGTCGGTGACTTAAACAGAGTCATATTATTATCATACTTATGTAGATATGACACGACTTACGTGAATACATCAGTAGTCACCTGATCCCCCCCCCCCCCCCCGAGTTTTAAATGTCTCTACAAAATTTTTGTTCATTAATTTTAATCGCATAATATTATTTAAAAAAAAATCTTATTGCCAACCGGTCGCGCGCTCTGTGACAGATACGATTTGAGCGATTGGAGTGGTACCACGTGTTTCTGTTCCGTACCGACGGGTTTTGCGGAAAACCCACTTACGGTGAAATGTTGTCAACTAAACAGGAAATCTATTGAGAAAAAACCTAATCGATATCTAATGGTACATATTACATATCCCGTAATGATAATATTTATCACGAGAGATATGTGTTCTTAATCATATGCCGTTTGATTCAATTATAATATCATGACGAATCAAAATTTACGAGTGTTTACCGGCCCTAAAAATCGTAAATCTGGCCCTGGCGCCCTGTAAATTGGTAGATACTAGGTACGCGCACAATAATACTATCATGATACGTAAATTCTCTTCCTGATTACCATCTTCGTTATTACAAATGTATATTAAATTAATATTAATATTATTATAATGATGTGGTTCGAACCACGTGCGGTTGGCGATTGGCTATATTTTTGATAATAATAAATAAACGTAATTGTTATTAGAATCGACGCCTATAAATATTCAATCAATTCTTTGTAGGCGGCCTTAGGAAAATCGAGGTCTATCATTGTGCCCGTTAATATAATTTATCGAATAACAATCGACAATAATTTCTATACATAATTTATTATGTCAATCAATTTTGAATGGCGTTTATATATTATACGCTCTATTACAATTGATTAAACATTATGTCGTTTAAAACAACAATACCGTATAGTACGTTATATCAAATTAATATTCAAATCCAATTAGAAAAAACCTTCACGTATACGCCTTCAACTCAATATTCGTTTAATTACTATACAATTACTGCTGATTATGTATCAATTACTATGTATACATATTTATAAATAATAAATATATATATTGCGCTTATATTAATTATGTAATTCAAAAAATATATAAAATACGTTTAATAATTGGATACTATACTCTACAGCGTTATGATTTTGAATATGGTGGTCCGAAAGTTTTTTTTGCATTTAAATAATACGAAAATAATATTTTATTGGTTTTTTTTCTTCGTTAAAAATATTCATAAAACTGTTTGAAAGTCAAAATTAGCATTTTGGAAATCGATCCAACGATGGATCCGGTCCCCTCTCCTCCCTCCAAAAAACCACCATTTCTGTTTTTTATAATATTCACCTATTTGAAATAAATCCCGGACCAGAAGATCGACAATACCGGAAACTATAATTTTACTATTCAGAAAGGTCAGATGTTAATTTTTTTATAATATGTATAATACGTATATCTGACATATTATAATATGCTAGGGAAAATAACAAAATGAGTTTTTTTCCATTTGACTATCGTGTACCCATATGATATATGACTTAGAACGCGGTTTCACGAGATAAATGTTTTTCGAATAAATATAATCAATTATAATATAGTAAGTCGAATTTAGATATGCACACCTATTTCTTCCATACCAACTGTGCATAATTATGTTTACGACTGCAACATGTATTGTTTCTATGCCGAACTGCATCTACACGCCCATATATATATATATATATATATGTATATATATATTATATTTATTGTTATTATAATCCCAGGTGTGTTTTATAGTCGAAGATTATCATCATCATTACCTCTATAAATATGAGTGGATTCCCGATAAACGATATGACATAATATTTTCTCCACACCATGTAAATCACCACATCAAACGGATAACGCAACTATATAGTTATGCGGCAAGGACACTAAAATGTCGGATTGTAATAATTATAATTATTAAAATGTATTTCAGAATTTTTTAATACTTTGAGCATGAATTGACCGAACTCTATATTTGCTGAAGTGATAAATTTATATACACTGACAACTTATAAAACAAATGATACACTATTATAGTAATAATCAACACAATCTTAGTTGCTGTTGTAACGTTGTAAACGCCAACAAATCTTTCGAGGAAAAAAATATGATACATATTATATTATACTGGTTAAAATCGGTCTGTAGAATCAATAAATAAATATTATGACGGTTTATCATTTTTTAAACATAATTTGTACTAGCTGCTGAGTGCCGAATATTTTAGTGCGCACGAACAGTACATCTTACTGATTTCTAGGAACGGTATCGTAAAAGAAAAATTGTTCATAATACAAGTATTTTGTCGACAAGTGTATATTTAACGAGTGGCTTTCACAAGTTACCGAAATGTTTTTCTAAAATTTTTTCTCTCCACATTTTTTATTCACCGCTATATTATATTTATATATTTCTTCAACAAATGTGGATCTGCAGTCGGAAAATAATACCAGTATAGGATTTTCAGCCATTTGAAGATTTAAACACTACAAACGCGAATAAATAGTGTTCATAATTGAAAACGTGTAGCGCACCAGTTGCGTTGTTTAATTGTTTTTTCGAGTTTATTCCGAGTGAATTATTTCTCTACTTCAAAGGTCGTTCGCCTCGTTAAGAAACAAACAAATATGCTTTCATACTATTCTTCTTATTATTATTATTAATATATAGGTGTATGTATTATTTTAATAACGCTCACGACTCCCCGTCGAGATATCATATATATATATATATATATGTGCATATGATAATACGAGTATGTGTACCGTAGTATATAATTGTTATTATGGTATATTACGAGGACAGATTAATAATAATAATAATGAACACAATAAAATGAATATTCAATAAATAAAATAATCGGTCACCATTGAGATTTATATAATATAATATTAATATTTAAGTAAATATTCGTGATTTTAGTTTTTTTTTTATAAATGAATCGCGAAATTTAACACGCATACTATACTTATATTATTTCTATGCAATATAATTATATTCTATAAATAATTATTATGTGTAAAACTTTTGTGTAGTACCTACTTCCGTTACAATTTTTACATAAATCTTGTCTAGATAATCTTGGCCACTTAGTATTTGATCTTTATAATAAGTCTGGCATAAAATCCCTAAGTTACTGTACCTCGCTGGTATTCTTTTATGCCTGTAGACGTGTAAAACAGTATAAAATTGAATTCGTTGACCACTAAGTCGAAAAGTGGAGAAACATAATGTCGTAATCTGTAGTTGATGAGTTATATTACAAATATAAACAATAGTATACGGAATGTGTTGTAACAACGTTCGCGGAAAATGGAATTGCATTTCCACCCGTTTGTTTCACGTATATGTATTATTTCTACAAAATTCACCGAGCACTTCAAAAACTGTACGGGAATAATAACCATAGACCGTATCACGAACCGGATCTCGATTTATCACGTAATTCATATTGTTATATTGCCGCAGTCTGGTGTAGGTTATTGCGCTTGTCGAGAAATAAATTCTGTGCCCCACGTCATAATATTATATTCTACACGATATGTATAGGTATGTACCACGCGGTTATATTACACGTTGTTATACTTGTAATAGCGTCCGATATGGAGACGACAATGTTGAAAAGTAATTATTACCACGTCGCGACGCCGCCAAGTACGTGAAGACAAAAAACGAAACGATACGCCGGCAAGCACGTGAAGACGAAAAAAGAAACGATACGCATCCTGGACGTAAACGAGGCAGCGAAAAGAGCGAATGAGTGAGGCAGAGAGTGAAAGAGAGAGAAAACCGTACCCAATTTAAATCGAGTTTTTTTCCAAAGTGAAAATCCGTTGTTTTAATTACGAGAAAATTTTCGAAACGCCTACCCCTCCCGCCGTTGTCTCCGTATCTCACGCCCTCGTCGTCCGGATCGTATATCACACCCGCCGCAATCTCTCTTTGCAGCATCCGCCGCCACCGCCGCCGCCGCCGTTTATCGTTTGCGCTGGCGCGTTCACGCCGAGGAGGTGTCCGTTTGTCGGGACCGAAATTCCGTTCGTACGAGGTATATTATATTGACCTACCTATCTCGCGGCACTGTTATATAATATATAGTAATTAACCCGTCCGACCCGAAAACGAATATAATACGACCAGTGCACGCGCGCACGGTATGTGCATATTAGATACGTACGTAAATGTACTCGGTTTTCGAAAAAATTACGTTTTTTAATATACATATTTTTTAACGAGGTGTACCGGCATACCGTAGGTATATGCGGTATAAAATTAGTGCGTTACCGCAATTGATATAGGTATAAAATAATATAGTACATCCAATATGGGCGCGCTTACTAGGCGTCTAGGCGTCATCGCGTTCAATCATTTATTAATTATAATAACAGAATTAAACGAATGGGCGAGCGTTTCTTTTTTCATTTTTAAAAATATAATATTATTACATTGTTGAAATTTTCATACGTCTACAATTGATGTAATGTTGCGAAGAGCATCTCGTCGGCAGACGTCAAAATGTCGAAACGTTGTTACTTTTATGCACGTACGTTGGGTGGCTATAGGGACGTGTGTATACAATATTATATTATTTATATGTATACGATACACTTATTATTTAAGCTGCTAAATATGCATGTAAAAAATAGGTAGTGTACTAATGTAATAGTACTGATAATCATATTGTTCCGTCATATTATAATGAAATAAACCGCTGACGGTGTTTGAGAAAGGGGCGTTCGAGAGGCGGACGTCTTCGAGCTTTTCATGGCCGATTTGACTATTATTGCAGCCTCCTACTTTTTTCATGCACGTGTAAATGACGTTTTCTCAGGGGTGGTGTAGTCGGGTTGTAATTCATCAAATTAACATCAGCGATTTATAATATTATATTAAATAACTATGTAGTAGTTGTTTACGTCCTATATTATCTATGTATATTAAAGCGTACACACAACAACAAATAGGTATTTTTTAATACAATTGGTACCACACACTTTTAATCAGTCAAACTTGTGGTGGTAGAGGAGAAGAATTTTTATACGTGACTTTTGGACAATTAGAACGTTATTTCAACTCACATTTTAATTTATCGGAATTTAATATTACACACTAAAATATATAAATATAAAAGCTATATTATATAGGGATAACTGATAAAAATTTTCGGAAAATAGTTTTGTGATAGTATTGTAATTATATCATAAATCATAATATATAAACGTGGGATGGTCATATAAAAAGTCATTACGACGTAATTTCGTGATAACAGTCGTTATTGTTATTATTATTTTTTCTTATCAATTAAGTATTGGTGTAGTAACGTGAACGTTTACGATTTGTGTTTACAGGTGGTGTTGTGCGACATTTGGAGGTGCGGCCCTAGCTATGGATTTGGGGTCCGACTATACAACGATTGCAGTAGTCGAAATGTCAGGGTTGACTACCGGGGACGAGTTCTCGCCGACGACGAGACTTCGAATCCATTTCGTAAGTATACATACATATATTACTCATATTTATATTTACACGTCATCGTCAACGTAGTCGTCCATTAAATATATTGTTTATAGCGTACAGTTATGAACACTACTCACGAGATCGATTGCGACATCGGAACGAACGATAAAATTAAAGGTCGACAAGTCATATAATTTATACGCGTGTTTATGTGATGAGAAAAAATTTAAACAAGATTTCGATCACGGGTAGTGGGGTAGCGGTGGGGATAATCGTAGTGGTGAAAACGCCATATTTATGAGCGTTCTCACACACATTCACACATACTCGTATACCTAAGAGGCATTTTTTAGTACTACTCCGGTATCAACTGCGGAATTCACGATTATGATTGTTCATTCCGAACGCCGAATTCTCCGCCTCCGACCACGGTCCGTTTGATTTGTCGTGTCCCGGCAGCGGCGTGGAATAGACGGGAGGAGGGAGACGATTATAAGAATATTGTATAAGTAGTGTAGGAATGTAAATCTCACCAATTTTTTTTCTTCCGTTGACATTGTTATGATAATATTATTACATACACGTCCTATTATACGCATATATGTGATATATGCAAATATATAATATTTTACGGTTCCTTGCGTGTAACGCCTATATATAATATATACTTACTCCTGCATACTATAGCTGCAGGTTTCCTTCAAGAACGATGGCGTGTTCTTCGACGATAATTCATACATATACATCATAATATTCTAACGACCAACGATACAATATTTAAATATCGAACGAAATTGTAAACATATTAATCATAATAATAATATAGTATAAGCTAATATGTTTTAAATTTAAACCGAACATATTGATTCAATTTTCTTTTTTTATTGATTTAAAGCCCAACAATAATACACAATATAATGAGTAATTGTAGTTTTGCTCCAACACCAAACCGACCTAACCTAACTTATCTCCAATGCCTATTAAGTTTAAAGTTAAATATCATTATGTCATTTGTGTGTCCGTTTATGTACAATAAATACGTAAACATATTTTAATATTACAGTCATAGCAAAATATTTTATCGCTATGAATTCGTTTACATATTATAATACGCCATTAATATAATTTATACATAATGTATAAGTAATGTCTCGAATTAAATTCTTTTAAAATTTGTCCGTCCGCCTCCACTTATTTCAACAACGATACATACCAGCTCTATGACGTTTACTATATATTATATATAGTGTCTATACCTAGGTACAGTACCGCCACGGTAAGTCGTGAGCCTATATATACCACAGCGAAGAGTATAATATATACTATATACGCCGTGCATAATATTATCATCATATGTATAGCACAGGTACGCATTATATGGTATTATACGGTTTTATATTTTATTTTCGTCTTTTCCTCATCGCGCGTCGGGCGCGTGCAGTGCGCGGCCTTCCGCCGACACACGCCGAAGCCGCGGAACGTAATTTAATATTATACACCCGACGTATATATCATGCACGCATATTATTATATTAAATAGTATTTACGATAATATTATATTATATACGCGTATATTTCATGTATGTATATAATACCATTATGCGCGAGACTAGATAATATAATATAATTTTATAATACGCGGGCGGTGCGTGCCGGCTCGTCTCCTCTTGTTCGGTGTACATCATATTATTCGTTTTTCGGGATCGAAAGATGGACATTTAAACGAACGGCGGCGGTGGCGTCGTCGTCGTATCCGATCCGTACACACCCGCACACCACGTGCTTAAATGTATATAACATATACTGCATATATATATATATATATATAGTGTATAATAGTAAATGAATGATGTATACAACGAATGTACCTATATGAGAATACGCTCGCACACACGAATATTATAGTTTATGTTCTTTGAATATTAATGGATTCCAACGCCGCCGCCGCCAAACACGAATAATATCAGTTTTGTGTTTTCGAATCGACATGGATCGTTATAATAATATTATTATCGGTGTTTCTGGCGTCGGCGGTACACGACGACGTCGCATGTATATACGATAGTGCTCATGCCGCCGCCACCGCCGCCGTTTCGAAAGTACCTTATATATTATATTGTTATATATGTACGTGTAGATACTACGTTTACACGGGCGCGTACACACTTATTTGATATGTCGATAACGTAGTATTTTCGTCGACCGAGAACAATGACAGCAGAGACGCGATAAACATTTAAGTATATCGTATAGTATACCGCGTTATATATACGTGGTATACGGTGTAATAATATAGTTAACCGCGTGCGTGTGTCGCCGCCGCTGTGCAACAGGTAGCGCGGAGGGTAACGAACTCTTGCCCAACTCGATGTGCCAGTTAAAATAATATTTTCAGGTCCTTTTTCCCTACCCAGCCATTTTGGAATTTTAGGATAAATATTTTCAAATTTCGTTTAATTTGTAACATCAAACAGACAGATTTTCGGCAAACAGTTCTCACAGTTAATGTCCAAAAGCCCTGTTATCCTGCAAGTACGATGCAGACAAAACAATGAGGTCTTAACCCCCAACGTGTATGAGCTGTCATCGTTATTTCAGGTCTGGAAAACACATAGGTATTTACGCGAAACTAAACCCCTTAGTTGTTTATCGTGAGAGTAAATGCAGCAATTATTACGCTTTGTATTTACTATTAAAAATAAATAAATAATTTAAGTATGGTCGACGTTCTAATTTAATCTGTTAGCGCCAAACAATAAATTGTAGGTATTATGTATTTAATGAAAATTAATGAAATTCATATATTTTAAACGTTAAGCAAATATATGGTAGGAATTTAATGACAAGTGAACGTGTTTTCTAGCTGTTTTTATCACAGATGAATCAATTTAGTTTTCTTAATAGTAAAACAGCACCTGTATGTAGGTGCAAAATATCACAATGAAGTCACTATCAGAACACTAAACGTTACAATCGTATTGTTTTAGTAGGTGGTGGCCATTTAAGAAAGTGAAATAATTTTTACCAATAAATAAATAATTTGTTTGAGTGAGTGAAATTAATTTTAACTACGTGAATGATAAGCACTTAAATAATACGCACGTGATTTTATTATTACTATACCAATTCATTTGTAGAGTTCATTATTAATTAATAATTATATAAATTAAATGTGAATTTATTAATTACAATTATTTTTTTAATCTAATATTTTCATTTTACCTATACGCCTATTTATACATAGTCGTCACCCAAACAGTATTTTTGGCGGAATCAACACTGGTCCAAACACTTTACGCCTATTATTATTATTCACACGTCCTAAACTTCAGAATTTCCGATTAACGATACCACTGTAATAAATCAATAAGACAATGTTTTGTACAACGCGAGCTACTTTTAAAAATTATATTATAGTGCTTTTATGCTTTGGTAGAGCTATGTAGGTACAACATAAAGGAAGTGTGACGACAATGAGGTGCGTAACAAAATTGGTCAATTCGTCACAGAATATAAGTATATATTATAATCTCTACGAACGGGCGGATTTCTTTTTTAATGGAAAACCGTTGTAAAGTTTGTGTTTTTTCAAACCATGTTTGCCGTCTTCGGTATTATACATCCTCTTCTTTAAAACCGCCACAGCAACAGCAGGATGATAAACACACAAGACTTAAAACGTTATATTTTTTGTATGTATATAAATACCGAGTGATGATGTGCTTGCATGTTTATTTTATTTATTATTATTATTATTATTATTATTATTATTTAAATCAGTTAATATGAAACGCTCGCTTACATTCCACGGTAGATCGTGACTAGAAATTTGAAGTACTGGTTCCTATTATGCGTTTGACAATATTATTACATAATACGAAATGAAGCAATGCAGCGGCGGAAAATGATGGTCGTGGTGCGTATATGGCGTATTTTCATATTGTGGCGCTTACGCACGGATTGCGTGTGTAACAATATAGAAAAGTGGAGCCCGACCAAAACGCCGAATCACTTTACCGAAAATTCACAGCGCTTAAAAATAATATATCATATTACAATAAATTAACAATTAATGCACTTTTTACCGTACAACGGCATAATGTATTATCGTCGGATATGAAAAGTTTTAGGTAACTTGTCCTGCAGGATGCGTAGTCGTATTATCTATAGCTACCTATTATATACGTATATTGTACATCCCAGATAATCTAACAATTGACTAACACATTAATATAGGTACTAGGTAGTGCGGTCGTTGATTAATCACCGATTTGTTCATGTATTTATCCAATTTTAACTTTTAACACACACGCACAGGTGTCAATCATCTAGTCAATATATTAATATGATTTTTACGACACGGATTCTATTTTATGAATATAATCGTATTGTTTCGGATAATAATATACGTATAACATATGCGTTCCTGGTAAACTATTAAATCGACCGACCCCTACACAGAATTCCTACAGTATACGATGCGTCGTGTAGTATAATAAATTGTAATTAACACGTTGTCAGCGCCCTGTCAGGAACTCGGTAGAGACTATAAAAGCGTTATTGTAGGGTTAAAATACGGCGTACTGTAACGCTTATGTTTTAAAAACATTTGTGAATTTGTGCGTGACGTGTGTTAATATCATAAATCAATAACAGTCAACGAAAAATATAAAATAAAATGTAAAAACGATCATCGTCAAAAATTACGTATCAATGTACTGCAGCAAAAATAAAACCATTTTATTTTGATTAAATGTACGAAAACCGAATTGCTAAAATTAGAATAAACGATTCACTATAGTATTTTGAAAAGTATAATTTTTAATTTTAACATCGAACGAAACGTTTTTCAAAGCCGTATTTACTTATCATCAGTCATTCAGTTCTACTATTTACCGGCGGATGATGACGTGCATAAAATATAATATTGTACATAAACAAAACTGTGTCTCACCATAAACATGTATACTCATAAAACACAATTAATTTAATGTTTTTATTTATTTTCATATTTTATCAACAGAAAACCTGACTGTCAAATCCCTGGACTTCAGTATTCGACTGTCGATATTCGCTGAGGAGTCGCATCGGTATTTGTGTTTCAACAACAAATGGTCCCTTGTTGGTTCGGTAAGTAATTTCTATATTATATATTATATTTATACGCTCACATAACAGTATAAAGTCAACAACTACACACTATTACATGTAGTATTATGTATATATATACATATATATTTATAAAAATATCGAATAACAAGGTCCTCGAAGCGCGCATCTCACCCTTCACACAACGAATTCCTTTTTTTTTTTACGATGTACAATAAACCGATATGACTGCTGCATATCTCCTGCACATTGTTTCAACGTACATTAAAAGATGAATTTCACAATCTAGCACACTCGAGTATTATTTTTTATCATCTGCGTGCGTTAAGTAAACACACCAAAAGAATGTTCGAGAAAAAAAATATTTTTCACTCGGTCGTCTTAAATAAATGTCGACATTATTACTATTACTTTACAATAATGTATATCATACGTACAGTAATTGTTATAAACCTGTCTTTACCTTTGTAATGTAATATATTTATATACATACACAAGCCGCATAGAAATATAATGTTTAGTATGGTTTAGTCACAGTCTTTTCAGCCACTTATTATTACTTATATAACATAACGTACGGAATAGTGCCCATCGACGATCGTTGTCTACAAACAATAGAATATTATATTTATAATATGCCCGCAGTATAAAAATTAAGAACAATAATTAAATAATTATGCTGTGTAATTACGTTTATATGGCTATGAATACATTTGACACATGTATATAGTATAGTATAGTACATAATACAGTTTTTAACAAGTCTTATACAATTGTGTTTATTTTTTTGATAATCTGTCAAGTCAAAACGATTAAATTCAATAATTTAAAGATTTAAACTAATATAATTTTTATTGGATAGATCAAGGTTTTAATTATTACACGTTAATATATAATAGTTTTCTTTATTATAGAAAATATTGAGGATATTTAAGTTTTTAAATTTTAACAAGCCATATATGCGTAATATGTGTATTGATTTAAGCTATTATTTTAATTAAATTTATATAACGATCACTATATATTTATCTACTGGATTATTTTTTGTTTTATACAAAAATTATCATTATTATTATTATTCATTGCTACGGTCGTATCAGTATAGCTTATACTGAAGTCACTAACATACCAAGAACCGACGGTTTAGAACTTCACAATATCTTGGCACCCAATCTTTTCAAACGATCAGTATTCAATATCGATATTTGCGTTTTATATTCAACATTTTTATGTAAGGTTACGGGACCCAAAACATCCAGTCTAAATTTTTCAATCCATAATTAACGGGAATGAGGATTATTCATTCAAATCTCAAATTTCGTGATGACCTCGTACGTGTTTGCATTACCTAGTTTTCCACTCATTGACTTATAGAACTGTGTGGGAAACACATATTCGTGGCACACGGCATAATACGAGACACTACTTATACCACACTATAGATATCACATACGAGTATTCATTAATTTTCAACAATTTGTTTTCCCTTTCAGAAACATTTTCGCGGCCCGAAGTGTCTGTTCTACGAGGAGATGCTTTCCACTGGGTATACACGGTACAAGTCGGTGGTCGACAAGTCACGGTACATAGGTTTCAACCGGCGGGGCCGTCCAATGCGGCGGCACGTGTATCACACGGACCCGCTGAACCGGTGCCTGAACTTCCTCAAGCTGGACACCAAGTTTGACATCGGCGACCACAACCGCAAGGTGGCCGCTTCGTCAGGTAAGACCATCGTGGTCGGCAGCAGCGGAGGCAAGCGCAACGGTGCGTCCAAGAGACCGTTTGCGTCGCCCGGTGGCGGTTACAACAAAAAATCGCCAACGACTACCTCCACTACGACGACCACCACGACAACCACCACCACCACCACCACCACCACCACTACCACAACGACCACTACACCACCACCACCACCTCCACCGTCAACACATCCTTCTTCTAAACAACCAGTCAAGCACAGTCGAATTCGGTTCAGACACAACCGACGCAACAGACACCGTCCCGAAGCCTTTCAATCGTTAGATCAAGACTAGAATAGTATTATGTTATTACTATTATTATTATTATTATTATGACTATTACTATTATTATTAACATTATTATTATCATCATCGTCGTCATCATTATAGTATTCTCGAAACTTCAAAATCGTAAAAAACCAAACAATTATCATCATAATTATTATTATAAATCTATAACGGAACAAAATTCCTGATCATTAACACATAGGTTGTAGTTTTTATTTTTTATCTACGAACACTCGACGATGTTGCTGCGATTTATAAGTAGATATTGTTATATAAGTTAACAATCGTAGTGGCGTTTGAGGGATTTTTACGTAGGTACACACTCTCAGATCCCCACTCAGGGACTATTTTTCTTTAAACATTTTTATCATTATATTTATATATATATATTGCATAGTTGCAATTTTTAAACGTCGTTTTTTGTTGTTTGATTTTCAAACGTATCTCAGCTAACTGTGTTGCTGCAGTCGACGACACCATGTGCTCGTTGTAATAATTTAATGAGCGGGGTGCACTCATTACCCGGAGAGAGTTGAAAAATTTGTGCTCACGCGTATCGGCTGCGGATTTTCCCATCGCGTTTCCCGAAGATTGCCAAGCGCCGTCCCGTATTTGCTTTACCGACGTACAATAGTTTTATATTCGTACGAAATCGGATGATCCATTCTATGGCATGATATTATACTATTACTCCGGGAGCACGTCTGACATTCCGTTGGGCATGTTACCGAATTAAATTTTATTTATTTATATTATTATTATTATTATATATTATTATTATTATTATAGGAATTAATATTTATTTTACTGCCCGAAGTATGTGTCATATTATAAGCTGTTATTTCCGCACCTGCATTTCTCGCGGCAATTGGCTCCTCAATACATAATAAGAATATTAACAAATATCGCTCGTGTGTTATCTATTACCATTTATAAGCGAGTAACATCAATGTACCGTGTTGTAACTATCGGAGCAGAATACATATAGTTAAAATAAAAGAGTCCAATGCTATAATTTGAATTGTCACGGAAAACATGTTTAATAATATTGTTTAGTATGATAAATCTAGTCAATATTTCCTTCCCATTATAAACACTTATAATTTACAACAACAAAATAAAAGCGTAAAATGATGTAACATTGTGTTGTAATTTCACGTATTATAATAAAAAAATACGAAGTTACGAACGTGATAGTAAAGTATATATATAATATATATATTATATACCTATCTTATTGTTTTACGTACTTAAGCCTATATTATAAAATATAATGAGTAAAACGTTCTCAATACCAAAAAGTATTAATATTTCTAATTTCTAAACTAAACAAAAAACCATTTATAAAAAGTTATAGAAAAAAAATAAAATGTTTGTAGCGTTTAAACAATTCTTTAGTCACGAGTGTTCATGGGGTGTTACAGGTACAAGCATAATGATATTTAATTTAAAAAAAAAACTGTGTGCATTTTCAGTATTAACGAAAAAAAGTTTTAAAACGTTTATAAAGTATTATTTTTTGCGTGTATATAATTTATAAATAACGATTTAATTTCACCGACTACTTGCACCTTTATATATTATTATAATAAAGTAACATTCCGTGTACAGTTTAGGTGATAAGTATATTTCCGTTCTGTAACGTCTCGTTTTGATCAAACCGCAAGTTGTCGAACTTAAATATATAGGTATAAAATAAATAATGTGTTCATGTGTAATATAGTAACTATAATAATAATGATGATAATTGTTCTGGAATATACGAGAATAATACAAGATGATAATACTAAGTACACAACATCTATGTTATGCAGTGCAAATCGTTTATAATGACGTTCGAAGGACCTGCAGTAGTAAATGTGGGTCACAATAAACCGCCATACGGGAGTTTTGTTCATATAGTCGTGGACACTCCATTATTTTAATTCACACGGGACTCGACAATATAACAGTGTTATACAACCGCGGTGTCTTTATAAACGATTTCTACTGTACGATATATACCCATACAGTATAAATTTCATCAGCATAAACCAATAATAATTAACAAACCTGATTTAGGAGAACCGACCGCGTTCGGATGATATATTGTTTAACGTAAGTAAAAAAAAAAAAAAAGAAAAAAAATATATCGAATAACTATCGATAAATCTCTATGAGATGAACGTTTTTATTTTTATTTTATTTTTGTCTCTCTCTCTCTCTCTTTCTATTGTAAATATTGTCTATATATATAATCACTATGTACATACACGGAACTGTACCATTTTAGTTGCCTCCCCTCCCCGCCCCCAAATTCCTTACCACCCTTTTTATTTATTTATTTATTTTATAATTTTTTTCTTTTATATACATTTAATTTAATGTATGTGACACCATCTCTACTACAAAGATTAATTTTAGAGTTTAATGTTCTATCTCTTCGATGTTACACCGTATTACTGCAGGTATACCAACAATACCTGCCCCAATGTTATTATAATAACAAAAGTCTTTGACGATTTGTCTTTATCCAAAATATTTAGCAGTATTAAAAACAACAATGTATATAACTTAACTGTATTTAGATGAGCGTGTTGGTCGTGAAACTCACGCATATTTTTTTTAATGTTCTAAAACGCTTATCGCGTTAACCGGTGCCATACAATATAATATATATGTATATATAATATATATATATATATATATATAAACATTTGTAAAAAATCCACAGTAATTATGTGTTTTTATTTCCATAACCCTGTACCCTATCCCAAAACCCACAAATTTATTTTTTATTTGATTTGTAACTATATATTATATGCATATATAAATATATATACACATAGACATTATTTTTTAACATCATTATTGTTACAATTATTATTATTGTATTTTTTTTTTTTTTTTTTACTCGTATGTACAATGTATTGTACAAAATATGTACAATACAAGCGATTTATATTAATTTTTTTTTTCAATAGGAACTCTATTATTACCTCTCCCTCACTAGGCACATCATCAGACTATATGGTAACAACCGTCGTCGTGTTATTATTATTATTATTATTATTATGATTATAAAAACAAAACATTATTATTATTATTATTATTATCATTATTAGGTACCTGAGCAGATCGCCGCTCGCTAACATGTATTATTATTTTTTTTTTTGTTTCAAAAAAAAACTTCGCGCCGGCTATTTGATTATTGTACGCTTATTGCACGTCCCAACTATTGTCCCATCACTTTCCTCCCATTCCATATTATATTTTAATATGTATACCCGCACTCAGTGCTTGAATTGGGAAAAAAATTAGAAGGGGGATGCAAGAGTGTAAAAAAAAAATATGCGCGTACTTGAATATTTAAAATTTAAATAATATTTTATTGATCAAGATATAATTAGAAGTGGTACGCATAAATATTTTTTAAAAAGAAAAGGGACTCCATCCACCTAAATTCAAGCACTGCCTGCATTAGTATAGATAGCCGGTCGTGTGGTAAACATGTATATTTGTGTGTGTGTGTTTGTGTGTATGTGAGTTTGTTGTTTCGCTATAATGCAATGCGATTTAATAATAATGTACTACTACTACTACTACTACTACTACTACTACTACTTTTAGTAATCAAAATAAAAATAAAAAAACCTAATGTATTAAGCTTTGTAATAATAAACAAAATATGTCTTAACCATTATTTTCAACAATAAAAACAAATCACTTAAGAAAAATGCATACTCAATACAATATATTATATATAAATATTGTGTATAATCAATGTGCATATTATTATACATAAAAACATAATGGTAGTGATGATGATCACCGTGGCTACTCAGTTGACTGCTATTAGTGTATACACAAGTTCCGAGTGATGTTAAGCACATATTTTATAATAAAATATGATAATGTATACCGCTTAAGACGAGTGTACAATATAATAATAACGTACACGATATACCTACGTATGAATACCATCAACGGCGTATATAAATATTATATTGCGCACGCGAGTTTTACCTACCAATATCATTTTATTGGCTGATCCGTGGACACCCGCGTATCCGGTAGCTTTACAGCAGCAAACAGTTATGTATTAATTCCACTGACAAACTACGTGCCTAATAAATAATTTACACGATTTATCGTGCAGTGTTTCTCGACCAATCGGTAATATCACGTTTTTAAAATATAGCATAATATAATATAGATATGTCATTATTGAATCTATTTTCGAGGTATTTGTTTTTTGCGAACGTGCATCTGCTATATTAATAAATACGTGTTTATAGCGGCTGTATTAATAATATTATTATCATTATTACTTATTATTATAAATGTGGAAAACGTTTTTGAAAAAACGCGTTGATGATGAATTTAGTTGATGTAACCTTACACGTGATTGTGAAATACGATGTCGCTGCTATAGTATAACCTATTAAGCTCGCCATATGTATTTGTACCTATAGAAACAAACGTATAATGAAAAAATATAGACTCGAACAGTCGTAATTAGTGACAATAATCAAATTTACCAAGTCTAATAAAAACTTAACAATTGTGTTCACCGACGAGGAATTTCGGAATAGCTGAAATTTAATCGTCGCATGTTATAAGCAAAATTTATAAAACTAGTAACTATACGTATTTACGTATTTATCCACCTGTTTTTTTTTTTCGTCTTAAACTGGTAAAAGAAAAATAAATAACGAGTATTCATATATTTTATGAGTTTGGGCCATGAATTCGTTCTGTATTTATTATAAATTTGTTTGATTAGAACTTTTAGAAAACAAAGAAATCTGAAAAAGTTTTTTCACCAATCTTAAACAACATTTTAACCGTTTTTGGAATAACTTGCGCTCTGATCGGAATCGTTTTTTAACTGAGATATTTTAATCCATGTTTAAATATAATAATCAATTTTGGAAAACAATTCTATTGAATGTTCTACTTTTACTCCAGCTATATCATTTATTTCAATTATGATTAAAGGACTTTGAGAGTATGAACATCGGACGTAATTTCAGTTAGGTACCTATATTACAATAAAGCCGACAGCGACAGTGACATGTATAAATCGTGGTTCATTTGTCACGGTCATTTTAATGTCACAATAAAAACATAAAAAATTTAATACTCAAAAGATATAATTTCCAATAATATCAATTGATTGAGTTATTATTATTATCTATCTCATATATTGTAATAAACTATAGGTGTTTAATATATATATATATATATAGTATATATACATATATATTATGTAACT